TGTTGTGTGTTGGTTTGTTGTGTGGGCGCCCCCCCCCCCCCCCCCCCGAAGCTTTTATTCTTATTTCAGTATGTATTCTACAGCTGCATAACTAGGTTGGATGCTGTAACTGAGAGTGGTGTCTGTTCCCTTTCTCTGCTGCTCAGAGAAGTGAAGTGGGTAGCAGAGTACTGCAGAAGATGCAGTATATTTGGCTTACTCTACTGAGTAAAAAATTTACTTGCAATCTTTAGTTAAAATTCCAAGCGGTTAAATGCCACCTCAGTGACTGCTAGTTGCTGCTGTTGCTGAACTGTTAGATCCATTATTTCAGTTTTTTGAGTATATTATCTTTCTGATTATGTATAAACATCTTTTGTTTTTATCATGTTTCTGTACAGAAATAGCAGCAGATTATTGAAATGAGTGTAATTTTGTTTTTATAAAAAGCATTCTTCAGAGGCAGACAATTATTTCTGATGAGTGGGTGGGTGAAAAATTTCTTGTGTTTTTATTCCTGGAACAGTTTGACAAGAAGCATATGATGACATGCAAGCTGCTTTCTCATATGCCTAACACATTTTAGATTTTCTTTTCCACCCTCATGGATGTATTACAAATAGTTTCATCAAAGTTAGTAACGCAGCAACTTATATTAGCTTCCTACAGCAATATTGAACTACCTTTTCGTGATATTTATCACTGCTGTCATGGTCTGACTACTTTCAGAAGTTCATGCTGGGAAATCAGCTCAGTGATTGGGCTTGATTTAATTTTTATGTTTAAAAAGTCAGAAATTTATTATTTTAATTTGTCAGATTGTTTTATCTTAGTATAGGGTTATGCTGTGTTAGTGAACTGTTAATGACAGCACACTGATGGAAGTAAAGCCTTTTTTTCCACATCATATCCTTTCCATTTGATGCATGCATCAGAATACAGCAGTTAGCTATTAGCAGAAACACTATCTGTAGGATAAGTGAAAACCCCACGTTTTCTTAATATTTGTCTGCTGCATTGCTATGCATAATTGTATGAGCATCCATCTCGTGGTGAACCACGTAACTTTTAAAATATTCTGTGCAGCCAAAAAGTGACCTAGTTGCTTAAAATCGAAGTAACGTTAGTCTTGTAATGCAGCTGAACCATGTCAGGGGTTTACATTTTTTATTATAACACTTTAATATGGAACTCAAGATAGAGAATTAATTTTTTTAATACTTTAAGTTCATGTTGACAGAACCGTCTGTCACAGCTGTGAATACAAATTTTGCAGTCTTTCTCAGTGTGATTTCTTAAGACTCTCAAACTAGCTTCATCCCCTCTTCATACAAGAATCCAAAAAGAGGTAGCCTAGTCTGTGATGGTACTTTCTCTAGAAATGTTTTTTGGTGATAGGAGGGATTTTGTCAAAGATGTCAAAGGCTTATAAAGAGTGGTTTGGTATTAATAGCATTTTCCTTTTCTTTGACACACCCCACCTGTTATGATCTAATTCTGGCATCAGTTATAACACTGATCTCTCCAAATTTGGTGATATCTGTTTAGAACACTGCTGCTATAACCATGCTTTTATTTTCTTTCATTTTTAGTTAACTGCTTTGTCACTGCAGTTCCTAACTCTCAGGGCTCTATCACAGACAAAATGCTGGTGTCTGCTTTCACAATTAACGTGTACAAGTATATTCTGTGTGTGTTTTCCATTTACCACTTATCATTATCCAGGGATGTGCTATAACCCAAGATGAATGCCATGTAAATAGGCAAATTGGACATCTTCATCTTTTGGTGTCATGCCTTTCTCTGCCTTCCTGTAAAGAGGGTAGTTCTTCCATTCTCAACTGAGAATGTTCAAGACCAGATTTTTAGGGCAATTTAGATACCCAGCTTGTATTTGAAACTGAGGAAGTTAAGTAACCAAAAAATGTTTTAAAACCATAAAATTTATGTATTTTATTTTTTTTTCTATGATTTTTTTCTTAATTATAAGGCACTGCATTCATATGAGGGGCAGGGAAATGGTGGTGTTGAAAATCTTATTATCTAACCCAAAGGAAGTGGTTTTCTTAGTATTTTTCCATCAATGGTCTTTTAACATCATTTGAGCTTAAGAGGTGTAATCTCTTCTTTTGAGTTTTGCTTCTCTCTGTTTGCCGGGCAGCCATTTTATCTCCACTCTATAGTGGAGCAGAATCCAGGATTAAGTACTTTGATTTCTCTGTTTCTTTCCAACAGTTTTATTGCTACATAGCTGAAAGGAAGTCCCTTTGTATTGCGTGCTGTTTTAAAGTCTCTGGTTGAAAAGCACATAAGTTTGTAATGCCCAGTAAGAAAGACCTCTTTGAGAGGACAGTAGCTATTACAAAATCATTTATACAATAAGTTAATGCAAATAGAGAGAGCATCCTATGATTTGTGAAATAGCATTTACTACTTACTATGTTCCACTTCTGAAATGTGTCCTTGAAATATTTCTTTTCCTTGATTTTTAGCATACATAAAAGGTGGGTGGATACTCCGAAAAGCCTGGAAAATTTACAATAAGTGCTATACGGACATTAATACACTTCAGGAAATATATCAGAAGAAAACAACTCAGGAATCCTTGACTTCTGATGCTGCAAATGATAATCATATTGCTGCAGAAGGTGTAACGGAGGATTCGCTAAACAGACTGAAAGGTGCTGTTAGCTTTGGATATGGACTTTTTCATCTTTGCATATCCATGGTGCCCCCAAACCTGCTCAAAATCATCAACCTGCTGGGTTTTCCTGGAGACCGCCTACAGGGGCTTTCTTCACTGATGTATGCAAGTGAAAGTAAGGACATGAAGGCCCCTTTAGCTACGTGAGTAGCTATATTGAAATGCTTTGGTAGATAACTTAGTACTAAAAGTAAGTAACTGGAAAAAAGTGAAAACCAAAAAGTCATGTTGCTTTAAAGGAAACAACAGCAGGTAAAATAAACTTGTAGTTTGTTGTTTAACATGCCATGGTTTAGTAAATTCATCACTTACACTAGTATATGAGATCTCTCTGCTGTTACGTTATTTACATGTATTTGGGGTGTGTGTCAGTAATTTGCTGTATTCTTCAGTACCTGCTATTCTAATATCTAGTAGTTTATATGCCAGCAGAGTACATAAAAGCACCCCCTGAAGGCTGAATAAATTTACCTGAGTTACATTCTCTGCTATGGAGGGCATACTATTTTGTACAAGTCATTGATCTTACTTAGCTATATATCCTTACTATTAGACAAAGATCTTTTCCAGTTTACTTTTAATTTTAGCATCTGAGTAAAATGGGATGTTCCCTTATAGTCTTTTTAGAGAGGTATTTTTTGTGTAGTCTTTTTCCCAAGCCTTCATACTGCATTCAGGTCTTTTTATGACGTGAAGGGTTAGCCACACCTAATTTAAAATGCCCTCATAAATGGGTTTATTATTCTATAATCTCCAAATTAATGCTTTTATTACTGGACCTACTGCAGGTACCACCAGATGTCACTTTTGAAACATTGACAGCAGAGCTAATGTCTCCTTCTGCTTGAGGAGAAGAATTGGATTTCTGATTGGTTAAAAAAGCTTAAGATTAAATGTTCCTGTTGATTTGTTCTTTCTCCTTTCTGGGGAAGAAAAATGGTGGGTTTAGGGTGTTTCTTCCTTCAGATGGTCTTGGAAAGCTTTGTGCTCTGCCCTTGTTTCCAGGAGCAATGTAGGTCATGTAGATGTCTGCCCTTCCCAACACCGGATGTATTTCTTTTTCGACATTGATTTCAAGTGTGTCTGCTATGTGTTTAGTTTTGGTTGTTGGTTTTGGTTGTTGGTTTTGGTTGTTGGTTTTGGTTGTTTCCCTGCCCACCCCACCCACCCTCCTGCCAATGAACAATTTGTTTTCAAGTTTTCCTGTGGGTTTTTCTTTTTTAAAATCTACAGAGTTCTAAAGGCTCAACTGCTTTGATGCTATGAGCTTGATTGTTAGTTTACCTTTGGGTAACGTGCACTGAATTGTATGTTCAGGTGCAGTTTAGAAGTACATTGATGTATGGCAATAGTATTGTGTTTGTTTTAAAGCCAGGTTGTATAAGAAGAGATTCATATCTTTGTTTGTCTTTCAGAATCATTTAAAAATTTGCCTGTGTAGAATGTTATCCTTAAATTTCTGTTTATGAGCTGTAATCCTTTCTACTCTTATGTTTCTTTTAGATTAGCTCTGTTGTGGTACCACACAGTTGTTCGTCCCTTTTTTGCCCTTGATGGCAGTGATAACAAGGCAGGATTGAAAGAGGCAAAAGAAATTCTTGCAAAAAAAGAATCTGCTTATCCAAATTCTTCTCTGTTCATGTTCTTCAAGGGAAGGATACAGCGATTAGAGGTATTTCATGTTTTCATCCTTTTGACTGATTTTCCTCCCCACCCTTTGTTGTATTATGTTTTCCTGATGTGAATGAACTGTGCAAGCTTCAGCAAATTGTGACTAAAGATATAGATACTTGGAAAGATAAGTAAGAAGAAAGGATTAACTCCTTCCTAGTTTCAAGTTCACGTGCCAAACCTGCTCTTCCACTACTTCTATCTGAATTATTCAAATAGCACTTTGAAATTCTTTTTCAGCTACTTCATACATTTGTAGCTCTATGCTAAAAGGAAGTGCTTTTGGTCACTCATGAGTTTCTTGTGGTATAAATAGCTATTTCAGTTTTGCTTGTCAAGCTAAAATCTGAGTATTAGCTGCTGAGTACATAGCATTTATCTTCCCCTTTTCATTTTATGCATAGTTCATATATAGCTAGTTCTCTGCAATAATTTCCCTCAAATAACTGCTTTTGCTTTTAAGAGGTCAAACCAGGATGTTTTCTGTTGCTAAGGGTGAGCTCTGATCCAAGCAGAAATGTATTCACTGAAAATGTGTTTGTGAATGCTGTTGCAGAGTGTTATTCAAACACTGCAGCAACGTTGTGGGTTTTGGCTGAATTATTCTTTAAGAATCTGTGATAATACATGATGGTGGTGAGTACTTTAAACTACTCAACTCCTAGCTGCTCCTTTTATCAGACCAGAATATTTCCAGAGCAATTACAAGAAAACCCAACACAAAGGCACAAACCCAGAATATTCAAACCCTTCATCTCAACATCATAATTACAAGAGCTAATCCAGGTCTTAATATTGGTGGTCACTCTTTGCTAGGGTTTGCAGTTAACTCTCTCAAATACAGCTTAATGTTTTGAGTGAGGTAGTAACAGAACAGAGGGGCAGGCTTCAGTGGCCTGTCAGATTTTGCAGGCATATTCTTGCAGGGGATTTGGATGTTGTTGTTTGGGTTTTTTTGCTGTCTTTCTGAAAGCAACAGTGCTGCTGGGGAATTACACTGTCGCAAGCAAGCGGTCAGTATTTGGGAAGTATTGCTGTTTTCTGAGTGGGAAAGATTTTAATGGTCTTTGTTCAATTATATGCATATTGCATTCTTATGGTAAAAATCAAATTTGTTAGGAATAGCTACACAATGAATGCAAGTGCAGTTAAAAATGTAAATATGTTGATTGCTGGAGTATGACTTGGTATTTGGAACTCTTCCCTCCACCCCCCACTGCCACGTTTAAGTTAAATTTTAATTATTATACTATTCCTCTGACCTTCAGGGCAAGCTAGGGAAAAAGCGTAAACATAAGTTGTCAATAAACTGAGTATATGTTCCTATGTGTAAATACAGAGGATAGGTTTGGGATGAGTGTCAGTTTTCTGTAGTCAGTCCCCTTCTGGAATACAGTTGTGTTTCAAAGGAGAGTTCTTAATATGTTATCTTGTAGTATTTGTGCATTTAAATGATGCAGTATATAGATATCGAAGTTTAGCTCCAAGTGAAACAGTTTGTGCCAGAGACAGCATGGCCATGTTAACGAAGTTAGTTAGCTTAGGCAGGCAGAATGCTGTGCATTGTGCTATGTAGCCTACCCTTAGTCAGCAGAAAGCTTATTGGTTGCTAACAGGAATTAAAATGTCCCTCTGTTATTCAGGTATTTGTTTGCATGAGAGCTTTTCCATTCAGCAGCCTCCCCCCTCCCCTACTGCTTTGTTCTACGTGGTACTGTATCACTGAGTCTTTGCTGTGTCTAAATGTTTTGGTTAAATGTCTTGGGCTCTTCTGTAGACTCTGTTAGGAATTTACAAGCTTAATTTGCTCAAATGTTGTTGACATAATAATGAAGGCAGATATGTGACTGGTGGCAATGGCAAGGGGAGCTGCACTGGATTTCTGCACAATACACTTGTGGTTGCACGTGTGTCAAATCTGGGCATTGGTCTTACAGCATCCATTTTGAACCAGGAGTGCACATATACTCTTAGATTACAGACTAATACGCTGAGTCATAACTTCCGCCTCATCTCCATCTTCTTGCAAAGCCTGGGAAGTGCTTATATGGCCTTCCTTGAAATTTTTAATACACAGGTAGGTTTAAATTCTTTCCACTAGGCGTGGGAATATTATTTTCAGATGGTTTACCGAAATTGCGAAGTCTGTGCTTTAACCTACATGCACTTCAAAGTATACCCTGAGCTGAAGCTTATATATTTTGTAGTCTTTAACATCTATCATCTTTTAACAGTTCTGTGATAAAATTAAATTGTAATAGGTGAAAGGCAGCTTAGGTGTTGTTATACAGAAGAGCTTGTGTGTTCTGGAAGTAAAATCAGTAATGATCATTGTAGGCTTTGTATTAGAGCCTAGCACTCAATCCACTGGATTTTTTTATAGCCTTTGATACTGCATACGTTTTGTATTACTTTCAGCTGATGGTATATTCAGCTTCCATTAGCAAGTCTCCACACACCTATATACCTGTATGTGTGTATTTTTTCTTTTCTATAGAGAAGAGAAACAGTAAGGAGCATAGTTCAGCTGTGGACACCTGGAGGCAGGGAAACTGTTCAAAAGGCAGAAGTAGTAATGCAAGACTGGACAGTGAGACACAAATCTGACAAAGGAGAAAATTGCCAAGGAAGGCAGTGGAGGAGAAAGGAAGATTTCACAGTGACAGTGCTATGAAAGACAAATGAAGAGCATGTGACTGTATAATGCTTTGTGCGCCAAAAAGCTTGTATGAATATTAGTCAATAACAGCCTTCACAGACTTTGGTTTTCTAAGAAGTAGCCTTACAAGTACTACAAATGTGGACCAAATTATCTTTCAGCTTTTATCCCAGATTCACATTTTTGAGAAATGAAGTCTGAAAGCGTTTGGAGACCATTAAATGAATGAGTTAAGGGAAAGGAGAGGAGGAGGATCTGGGAAGGATGGAAAGAAAGTGCACCAGGAAGTTAAAGGTTGCACTGACAGGCTGATCAAATGTCTCTTTGAAAAAAAAGAGTAGGTTAAGAGACTGCGCATTAAAAGTAGCATTTTTCCTGACTTTTACATAATTCACTTAAGACTGTTTTTATGGACATAACTATTGCTGTGCTTGACTTGTGATTGTATGGTATGTATTCCAGCCTCACAAGTATTTCTTTGTGAATGTTTGACTATTTCTATCTTTTGAAATACTTTCCGTTAAAGCTGATAATGATTTTTCATGGAAGCTTAAGCTACTGAAAACAAGCGAGAATAATGTTTTATACTTGTGCCTAAAGGGTACCTAAAAATGTAATTAGTATTAATAGCTGCTGAAACTCACTGGTCTGAAATGCAGAGTTCCCGGCTGTATACCCTTGGGCCTTTCTTATTACTGTGAAAATATTGTTGTGCCATCCATTTGCTAAATGTGTATTGTCTAATATTATAATTATGTTAATAAATACCAATTTACTTTTGAAATTGTGACTTAAACTGTTCAAGTGTGGTATTGTGGCCAGTAGTGAAAGATGGGCATGGTGGTAGCATGGGAGAGGGCAGAGTAAAAGGTGGTGTTCTGAAATTTCCATATTTCTGCTTTTCAACTTGTAATTTTGCTTTCTCTTTTTTTTTTTTTCTTTTTTCCTAATTGGCAACATTTTTTAAAAATCTCCCATCTGCTTTTTTAAATAGTACAAATCGCCCTGCTCAGAAGTAGTTAAATAGATTGATAGCTTCATTTGGAGAGTGGTAAGGGTATAAAGCAAAAATAAAATATTTGACAAAATTATGAACTGGGCAAGAATCCTTCTCTTTCATTGGGAGCAGACACTGGGTGTGTACATATAAACAACAAGAAATCTCTGGGGTTGGGACAAAAAAACATGGGTTCTGAGACTTGTTCTATAGACTTCAGTTGGTATAGGTGTGTGTTAAGAATCTGAAGGAAAAAGTACCAAATATTCCAGCTGATGGGCAAAACACCACTGAGGTGTGCTACAGTGTGTTTGCTGTACAGGCTGGTGAAAATGTGCAGTGGAATTGTGGGCTTAAATGTAATGCTGACAAGTACCCTTGCTTTTTTAGTTAGGTTTTGGAGGCATCTTTGTATCAGTGGTATCATTTTTATTTAGGGGTGGGAGGGTGTGGCATGAAAAAGTAGACCAAGGGCAATAGTAGTAATCATTGAAAAGTTTTAAATGAATTTTATGGAATAAAGTCACAATGTTGTCTTAAGAAGTTTTCAGAGCTTGCGTAATGTCAAGGTTTATTTTCAGGAATTGTGCTGGCCTCCCTAGTTACTTGTTCTAGGCTATAAAATACAGAATCCTAGTTTTACTCTATTGATTTTGTGACATGTCTAGGGAAGGATGGGGGGAGGGTGTTAAGGAATAGAAAATACAGGCTTTGAAATTTTTGTGTAGTGTCCTCCAGTGTAAATTGTCCCCTTTTAGATACTGTTTGCTGGTTTTCCCTTAATTATGAGCATGACTTCTTAAAAGCTTTACAAATTCATAGTGTTGCTAGAGAATAGAGAGGTCCTGGGAGAGGGAAAGTGTCCTGAGATTTCGTAACAACTCTGTGGGGAAACGTGTGTTGGCTTGGGAAGCTGCCTTGGCTTGGGAAGCTCTGTAGATGCTTAGTTGGTGAGTTGAGGTGGTTTTGGTTTTAATTTGAAGTCCAGAAATGTAAGATCGTGGTTCTCATATTAGCTTTGATAATCCTCTTCATAGTTATGTAGTTCTGTATATTACACATTTTATGGATTAATCTTTTTTGTCTTTGTATTATGTCCAAGAGAGGTATGAGTGATGTCTGTTGAAGGAATTACGTGTGTGTGTGTGTGTGTATATATTTTTTTAAATCTCAAGAACACCAATTTCAAGTGTCAGCCATGATGTCATACTTGTAGACTCTTGGGACTTTATAATTCTTTTTGTTTATTCTCTGAAACAGTAAACGGATAGTAATTAATTTATTTTAAGAATTAACACCAAGAGTAGAAATTCATATTCCATTAGTAAATACGCATATTCTAACAGCATGTTGTCACAATCCCTGGAGGTGATGGAAACTTTAATTATCAAGGAATGTCTCTGAAACATACTTATTGAGCTTGATGCTTAAGGAAAACTTAGGCAGATGTCAAAACACTTGAGAGATCTAGACAGAGAAATGGATTATAGAAGACTGAATATTCAGCTAACTGCACTTGTACATTACCAGGTGGTTAGTATTTCATGTGCTGCCCCAGGCTGGTATATAGCATTGCAGACAGTGATGTAATTGCCATTAGTCATTGTGTAGAATAACATGCCCTAAGTGATTTATATTTTTAAATGTTTAAGTTTTTTATGTTTTTAGATGGCAAAGTATCTTCACAGAGGACTAAATATTTAGGTTTGGTCGTGGTTTTTTTTTCATTTTCCTCAGAAGCATTCAAAACATAGATTTAGTGAACTTCTGAACTTCTTAGCACAAAGGTAAAGTTTTAAGCCAACATTACTTTACGTTATTTTTTTCTGCAAGATGGGGCTCCTACACGACTTCTGGGAAAGTAAGTGTTGGGGTGATGTAGCATCAGTGGAGTAACGTGTAGTGGAGAGAATGTGCTGCTACAAAAGTAAACAATGCGTATGTTGCTCAGGCTCCCTGGTAATTTTGAGGGCAAACATAACTGACCTGTCTTTCTGTGTAGTATATTCTTCTGTCATGCCAACAAGCATCTTAGTCTAATCACCATTTTATTTTCTAAAGTGTACAGTGTTTATATTGGTACCGCTGTGGATCCCTTTGCTGGCCGTTGTGCTGTCTTGATGCAATATGTATGATTTACGGTTAAATTGTTCCTTAGCAACTAAAACAGTTTTCCCTGATGAGACAAAGAAGAAAATCTAATAAAATCACTTTAGAGCTCTCTGTGTGTGTGGTCTTAAGATACAACGCTGCAGATTTTTTGCAGGAATTTTTTTAATTCAGTAATGCTTGTGTAGATGACAGGTTTGCTTTTTCAAGGGTTTTTTTCACTTACATGGTTAGCCAGCAGAGAGTGGCTTAAAGATTCTTCTGCTGTATAAATTATTATAATTGTTTGTGAGAATAAATATAGGAATGCTATTCAAGCAGGTATAGGCCATATTGGGATATATTGTGTGTCTGCGTATAAAACTAATTAAATGTTGATTTGCATCCCCCCCTCTATGATGATTGTTGCAGAGAAGTCCCATCCTAGATGGGGAAAACTAGAAATTAAGGTAGTCAAAAGAACTGTCTTTCTAGGTCTTACAAAGCTGTCAGCCTCTTTTTGCTAAGCTGTTGGTAACTAATGATTTTATCAAAATGCGTTTTTATCTCGTGCCTTTTTATCTTCTTATATACCATATAGCATTTATGAATCCTCTATTAACTGTTGCTTAAAGTTGTTATTTGAGGGATGTGGAAAAAGGTGAAATAGTTCAAAATAAATTAAATTAAACTTTAAAGATACTCCTATTTTGCAGAAAGCTAAACTTTATTGTCAGATGCTAAAAATGTATGACTTTTAAAGGTGAAATGACTAATAAGAGTAGAAATGAGATTACTCAAAAGCTTACTGCACAAAACGAATTAATTTTGGACTTAATAGCATACAGAAGGAATACAGCCACTGATTTTTAAGGTTGAGAGATGATCTGAACTGTCTGTATGTTACTGGTGATCGTTACTACATTATTAAACTCCTCTACTATCCCCCTCCCCCCTTTTTTAACTCTGTAGTGTTCTACGTTTCTCTTTTTATGTGACTTGTAGAGTGCAAGTTCCTTACCATATGTTTTAATTCTTACTGTTGCACGTGGTGGAACTGATTGTTAGTACCTTGCAAGCAAATGCTTTGTATTCTTGTTTTTAAAGTTTCATTTAAATATAAATCTCAGTTGCTTTATATTAGTGATTCTTACTTCCCTTGTCTCTTATAATTTGGCTTTTTTATTATGTTTCATATCATGAATATGAAATAAAAAAATCTGTTCACTATGGGACTCTAAGATGCTCGTTTATCATTGTAAATAAAGGCTTTGTCACAATTTGCCCATACTTGCATTCAAAAGTGATGAAGTCGAGAGAGCTGGGAGGAGGGAAGACAGCCAAAGGAATTGGAGTGTGGAGCTGGTATATTGAATTAATATTAGCACTTCTCCATCAAACTGTTAGGTCTCTGCTGGGTTTTAGGTCACTTAAAATAATCTAGAGTCTGAAATGAATTTTGAGGTTTTCCTCTCAATGGGATGTTGTACCTCTTTCATCTAATCAAACCAGAGGCTGCAATCTGTAAGAGGCTTTTTTTAACCATATAGTTATTTTAAAATACCTATTAACAGAAATCTGAATGTTTTCTTTATTGAAATAAAATTATCCAACAAATTTCAAATTTCAGACATCGCAATTTTTTTTTTTCTTTCACTTTTGTTAGTGTCAAATCAATAGTGCCTTGACCTCATTTCATACTGCTTTGGAACTTGCAACAGACCAAAGGGAGATTCAACATGTCTGCTTATATGAAATAGGTAAGTTGGATATGTTTATACTATAAATAGCTCACTTTTAAGTTTAGACTAGCAATTTCAATAAACAAACTGGATTATTTTTATTAGGATTTTTAAAAAAGATTTTAGAATACTGGCCTTTGTCTTGGATTATGGTAATAATCCTGTCTTCTTGTGTGGGCGAGTAGAACTCAACAATTTTTCATAATTTTAGTTTTCTGAAAGGTGATGCAAAATCAGAGAGCAGACTGTAGAATCAAGGGCAAACTGTTCACCTACAGAACATTATTTAAAATGAGAAATTAATTAATCGGATTTGTCTGTGGAATCACCATTTCTGTGCCAAAAACTAATTGGTCTAGTGAAGCTTCACGGTTTGCAGGACCTATATTTCATGTTAATTTCCTTTTATCAATAGCAATATATGCTATATGTTCTTAACTGGCATACAAGTCTTTAGAGGGGAGAAGATATGTTGCTTCAAGCTTCAAATGTGTCTCGTTAAGGGATCTTGTCACTGTGGGCAAGAATAAGGGAGCAAGTAGCTTTGTAAGTTTCAGCATCCTACAAAATGTAGTATTTAAATAAAATTTAAAAAGAGAGCTTTTGGTGTCTGTATAGATTTGTTGTTGCCCTGAAGTGGATTCATTGTTTTGTATGGAATAATTCAACGCTTCCCAGTAAATTTAAACCAGGCTTTAAATGTATGTCATTGATTTGTTTTTAACTTTTCCAGTTATTGGTATAATTGTTAAACTAACTCCAGCTGTCATAGCAGACTGTGTGTTTCAGTAATTTTCGCACCAAATTTGAATTACTGTGCTTTCTCTGAAGTTAAATTAGTCTTGGTTTTAGGTTGGTGCAGCATGATAGAGATGAATTTCAAAGATGCGTTTGAATCCTTTGAAAGGCTTAAAAATGAATCCAGGTGGTCCCAGTGCTACTATGCTTATTTAACAGCAGGTGAGTATATTCAATGTGTTGGGTAAGTGGTAAATCAGTGATGTAATAAGGTTTTGGCACTGTTTTGTTTTGGGTAACTTACTAGTGCACACACTGCCTGCTGCTTATGCTGCTTTATGCCAGACTTGACTTACATAACTTTGTTTATGTAATGTATGCTTGCATGCACACATGCATGTGCCTAAGTAATTCCTCTCTCCTCTCTCTCCCCCTCTCCTTCTAGATTTAGATACAATTATGATTGCCAGTGTGGTGACAGGTCGTATAACAGTGTATTGCAAAGATTTAATGAATAAATTCGTAGAGATTGGGTGGTATTAGTTTCTTCAGTGAGTACGAAAAGAGGTACTGACTTGTTAATGATCACAGAGGGTATCTGGGACAGTTGGGATTTGCATGTTTGTCAAATCCCCAGTCTAGATCCTTTCTGGAAGTGTGGTTTGTTTTTTGTTTTTTTTTTTTTTTTTTCCTGTGACCATATGATACCTAATCTTAATTTTTCCTTTTCCATATCCCAGCAGTGTTAAAACATTTTTGTTTCTGTGTCCTTGCAGTGTGTCAAGGAGCCACTGGTGATGTCAACGGTGCTCAGAATGTTTTCAAGGAAGTTCAGAAGCTTTTCAAAAGAAAAAACAATCAGATTGAACAATTTTCAGTGAAAAAGGTTTGGCTTAGTATAGGCTGACTTGTTTCAGTACAGTAAATTAGACTTGGTAATTTTGTTTGATTCTTTACCAGTATTTATTTTTTGAAGGATGTATCTGTTTTCTGCTGTGTTGCTTCTGTAGAATTAGTGGGAAGGATTCAGGTGGAAAAACAAGTGTCATGTATTTTAAGGACCTAGCAAAGGAAACATGAATTAGCTATTCACTTTACAACTAAAGTAATTATTAAAGATAAAAATGCACAATAGTGTAGTTGCTTTGGTAATTTTCCTTCTAGCTTTGCCTTTCTACTCCTTTTTATCTTGTCTTGTTTGTCAAAGCCTCAGTTCTTTTTGAAAGCTAGGAATTGTCCAGGATTTATCTCCCAAGTGATGATCTTGCAGATGTTACAGTTTCAGCATCCAGTCAGTGTGTACTTGGGATTGTGAAATACAGTAAAACAAATCAGGCTGCATACAAGGAAGCTTTAATTTTGATCAATATGTAAGCCCTTAAATTAATTGAAAGATTTTGCTTTTTAGTCTTAAAGTCTTTAAAGCTAAGTTATTACCAACTTTTATTTTCATAAAATTGTTGAATGCTTTCATGGAACCTTTAGAATTTCTGTTTGTGAATATTATGTTCCCTATAAAAGGACAGATGACAGATCTCCCTTCCCTCTTTCTCCCCACTTTGCAGGCAGATAGATTTAGAAAACAAATGCCGACCAAAGAGCTCTGTGTCCTGGCATCCATTGAAGTATTGTACTTATGGAAAGCCCTTCCAAACTGTTCCCTTTCAAACTTACAGCATATGAGCCAAGGTATAACATGGTTTCTTGATTTATTTATTTATTTTTCAATGAGGTGTATAATTTTCTTCTGTGAAGTAGCTGATTGTTGCAGTGTGAAAATTTAAACCTGTGTGTATGTGTCATAGCAAAACAGTTTGAGTAACAAAAGAATAATGACCCATTAAGACTCAGCTTAATGCTTAATTTTTACCATTCTTATAGGTTTTTGGGAGAAGTTTAAAAGCTTGCTGCATATAGTTGTTTTTTAATCAGTTGCATATGCCCATTGTTTAAAATGAAACAATAGCATGGTAGTTATTGTTCCAAGTCACCAAGCAAAATTTAACTCATTTAAACCTAGCTACAAAATAAAAAAATAAAACTACCAATTCATTTCTGCATGTCAGTTTTCTTCTAAGAGGAAATATGTAGCTTGTGAGGTTATCTATGACATAAGGGTTCTGTTTATCTTGGCTGCTGGGTCCATCTTACTGGTGAAAGGAGCATTTCATGGTTGCCTCTAAGTCACCAGTTGTCTTTGGATGTCTGTCACATGAAGTTTATGGTAGCAGTGTTTATCATGAAGTTTTCAGTACTCCTCCCTCCATCCAGCCATCAGTCTTGTTTGCATTCTGCAAATGGTTTCAAGTTATTACCTGCTCAGTTAGAAAATAAAACAAAAAATGTCTGCCACTGAGATACTTCCTTTTTTCAAATTGTGAAATTTTTGGGATTGTACATGATTTTTATGTTAAGCTAGAAAACTACCAGTCTTGAAGGCAAGAGTCAGGAGTAGTTGTGGGGTTTTGTTCTGTTTTTAATTGAAGACAATTTGTCCATTTAAATTGCGTGATGGCAGTGGGTTACATTCAGATCCCTAGTTTTCTAGTCCCAAAGGTAATTGGGAAGGCTTTAAAATTAGATTTACTTATATAAAAATAAATTTCAGGATTATTTTTCTGCCATTCGCCTTCGGAACAATCAGCTTTAGAGGTTGGGAAGAGTATGTACTTCTCTCCTGCATGCTCAGAAGCAGTGCAGATCTTCCTTGTATAAGCTTCTAGCCAGTGGTTCACATTTTAATGTGAAATAGCAGTATAGATTAAAATTCAGAGATACGCTTCTTGTAAATATGACACTGACAGATGTGTCTGCATCAGCAATCCCCGGTTGAAGATTTTCTGCACAATGAGAGTGTTATCGCTGTGCCTTATATGTGCATCAAGAATGATTAGATGATAGGGGATTTTTTTTTTTAAATTTTTTTTTTCCCCTTCTTCCTCTTCTCTTGAACAATTGGAGTATAATTTGCTGGGGCAAGTTTCCAGTCTTTTCCTCAGGGCTAGAAGCTGACTTAAAAGAATTAATTTGTATCCACATGTATCTCTAAGTAAAATGCCAAGTAACTTGAGACTTGGGATACAAGCGAGAGTTGACAGCCTTGTGTATTGTGTAGTGTCCAAATACTTCATGCAGCCAACTCTTAGTTATTCGTAGGTGGCTTATCTGGGTTGTGGCTTAACTCTGTTGTGAATGCAGAGCTAGTTAAGGTCTGGCAGGGTTTATGAGGTGAGGCAGAGTGTGAAGTTAAAGGAGCTCTGCTGCTCCAGGCACAGCAGTTCGGCTCCTTTTGAAGGGATTAAAAGCCCTGCGGGCCTCCCTGTATCCTGGACTTTCTGGAAGCAACAGTGCAGACAAGTGCAAATGGCTCCTCATGGAACTAGCCTTGATTTAACAGAGCTGGCGCTAATAAGCTTGATCAAAATGGAGCCTGATGCATCTAGAGACAGTTATGTGCAGCGTGATTCAATTCTTCCTGGAAACAGGGCACTACTCAGCTGAGGCACAGTCTGTCCCTGGATTGTGGACCAGCTAAGGTCTGGCAAATAAGCATTATCCTCTGATCAGCATTGAGAATTGTGATGCCAAAATATACTAGTCTGGGCTTTTAAGTCCAGTACAGATTTTTGTGTGTCTGTCACTTGGCTTCAGTTCAGAACAAATTAGCTTTGTCTGAACTGCTTGCCCTGTGCTCCTTGCAACTTGGACTATGTATTTTTTCTTTCAATATCTGGGACAAACCAGTTTCCCATAACACCAGAAGGAGATGATTGTTTCTTAACTTTACCTTTTAGTGGATATTTCAAAGACCAGTAGAGAAAAGGATTCTCCTTACAAGAACACACTAACTGCGTGTTGTATTTAAAAGAAACCAACTTTGATTTATATTAATGTTACTAGCATCTCCTTTTTCTGGTTAAATTTAATCATCAGACTAAAAGTCAGCATAGACCACAATTCTTGTCTAAGGAAGGATTTCAATCCATCTTGTTTGTTTACCGGAATCTTTTCATTAAGCTTGTCAGGATGTTGATGATTCATCAGCTGTTGGTTTGAGGAATTTGCTTCTTGGTGCCATACACAAATGCTTAGGAAATTCTGAAGATGCTGTTCAGGTAAGTTGTTAAATGGTAATTTACACCATTAATTTTATGAGCTATTCTGTTAAACAGTAAATATTGTTGAGTAAGAGTGCTAAGCAAGCCATTAGTTTTCAGTGCTGTTGGAACTCACGAAACAGAATGATCAACGGAGTATGTCAGGTTCTTTTCAAATCTTGTGGTTTAGCATATCTTCATCACATTCTGTGTTGTAAAAGTAATTGGTTATGTTGAACGAACATGGCAGCTACAGTAGCTTGTAGGAGCAAGAGTTGAGGGAAAGCTGGGAAAAAGCACAGGAAAGTTCTTGCTCTGCTGGATTTACTTTGTCCAACAAAGAAAGTTCAACTTTAAAAAACAAAATAACTTGGATATTGACCTTACCAAGGCATAGGTTTGCCGCTTCTCCTCTAGACCTATTAGACACTGAGAGCACATACCAAAGAATAATTTTACCACTGCTCCAGGCTTTGATCTGTAGGCACAACTTTTTTTTCCTCCCCCAAATAGAATGCAATTCACAAAAGCAACAAGGGAGCTGATGCTGGCTTTAAATCCTTTTTTTTTTTCCTCTCTTCCCCACCCCCACCCCACCCCTGCAACTTCTCTCAAGTGTATGTTAAATAATCTGGGTGCTTAACTTCTGATGTTAAAGTTCCATGTTAGATCTAATATTTTTTCAGTATGAAGGTGGGAAACTCTTGAAACAGTCAATATATTACTTTGTAAAAATCCAAGCAAATAATTTTGCTTTGATACGGCAGTGTTGGTAAAAATGTCTGGGTCCTTGCTTAAAGAATCTTTACCACTGGAAATTTTTAATGTATTCTCATTTTAGCTTTGGGCTAATTTCTAGTGCTTAAAGTTGAATGGTGCTTCTGGATTTTTTTAAGTATCAGTCAATTTTATTGTATGACTGCAATCTTTTTTTTCTTTTTCCTTAATTTTTATAGTTCTTTCAGCGAGCTGCTAAAGATGAACTGTGCCGTCAAAACAACTTATACGTCCAGCCATATGCTTGCTATGAACTTGGCTGTCTTCTTTTAGACAACCCAGAGGTAATAGCATAACCTATTTTTAAACTCTGAAAATTATGATGGGGAGTCAACATATCGCTATACAAACAATGAATCAAAGTTTATAGGTGATAATGTATGTAAAGTTTTAAAAATGTGATTTATACCTACCATAAAGAAACTTACTACTTTCATTTTTTGCAAACCAAGAAATGCAGTGTGTTTTAGGTAACATCTTTATTTTTCAGTATCAAGAGCTATAAGGAGATTCTGAGGAGCTTAGAGTATCTGTCAGTTAACACTGCAGTGACTTGTTTTGTTGTTACTGGATTTTATTTTTACATAAAAACCAGAGCCTGAGACTCTCTGGGATTCTTCAGGGCAGTTGTTACATTCCTGACCATTAGTGGTGTCTTTCATTAGCAGTAAAACAAACATGTCTGCAAACCTACAGCAAGCAGTAAAGCAAGAATTTTGATGAGTGTAGCACCACGTTGTTTTGATTATTATTTAGTACTTTATGCCAAAAAGCCCCCGCAAAGAATTTACTTTCCACCTTTCTGATCATGCCATGATGCCCATTTTTTCATACTTACAGAAACAGTATATTTAAATACTGGCATATGCAAATACTTCCATCATCCCTCAAGACGCAAAGACCTCTCCCCCTTCACTTGCCTTAGTGTTCCTGCTGCTGGTGACAGCAGAGGCCTGACACGAATGCCTTGGGTAGGCAGGGAATTGTTGTCTGCAGGTGGTATTTAGTGTGGTGAATGCCTAGGATCCTTTTCTTACATATTTAATTTCCTGTTGGATGCTGTTCAAGATCAAAGATTACCTGTAGTTATCCTTTCCAAATAGAATTTGATGCCTTTCTAAAATAGCTCCATGTTCTCGGGATCAAACTTATATTTGGAACTATATGGTATTTGTCAAAAGTCTTTTTACGTTGGGATTATTTATCCCCACTCTTAGGACAGATATCTTCCTAACCTCACACATCAGTGCATCTTGGAAACCTAGCTGGACTGAGGGCACGCATACTATTGTACTGTTTCATTGCAGGGAATATATAAGTAAAGTGATTTCAGTAATTTAAATTCCTGTGAAGCTGTATGTGTTGGCGTTTTAGCATTCACTCTGATGTGTAGTGAGGTTGTCGTTGTTCAGGATGATGAAAATAATTCACCTGGCTTTCAGACTGTCCCAATGGCTTGGTTGATGATACATTTGATCGTTCGGGTCTTTGCACATACCCTGCCTCCTAGGGAGCCCAGAGTATCTTAAACTAGGGCAACTTCTGCACTACTCCTGGTGCTTTTTCCCTCCTCAAACATGTAACACCACTCACTATTTGGAGTCTGTGCTGCTTTATGTAGTACTTCCTGAATCAGATTGCATGTTAGGGGGAAGCGGTTACAAGGTAGTGACTTGAACCCCCACATCATTGTATGTAGTGTATAAAGTAGTTGGGCTAATAGTATCTCATATTCTTAAGAATCTGTTTTCAGTTGTTTTTAATCTTGTCAGATTTAGTCATCTGAGCTGAACCTATCCATTAAAGAAGGAAGGAAAATCTTTCAATAAAAATTATTATCATGACAAAGGACAAGACTAGAGAAAATGCTTTTTAAAATAATAGTTTTATTTTGAAAACCCTGCTGCCCTATGACTTAGAACTGGGCCTTGAAGCCTGGTAGGGAGGTCTGAGTCCAGTAATGTTCTTGCTGCCCTTTTTTCCACGTTCATATTTAAATTTGATCATGTCAGGTGTCTCTTAAAAAAAAAAAGCGTGGTGGGTAGTGAAGTTGTCTGAAGATTTTGAGAATGTGGGAGCACTCCTTCGTTCCTGCTTTATGTGTAGTATGTGCACATAGTAACTGAACGTGCTTCATGTGGGGTGTTTGAGGACTGAACAAGCCTCCGCTTGTAGCTGTACTGAGAAGCTATGGTAGCGCTTAGTATATGAAGGACATGCAGGAAACTCCCTCTGGTGGCACTCGGACAATTAGGGAGGTAAATGATGCTTGACTTGAATAAAGTGGGACGGGGTGGGGAAAAGCAAGAGCTAGAATTAGAGGCGAGTGGATGCTGTTTATAGAAAATTCCATTTACTAGGTGAGGTGTCATGCAAGAGCTCTATAATGATTAAGAAAGAGAAGGGAATAGGGTTTTATAAATCACATTTGCCTGAGAGGCTGAGCTTATTAAAGACCTGAGCAACAGATACAGATATGAATATGCGTGTTAGTATAAAAAACATACTGTTATTAAATTTACTTTAAAATTACTCATAATTACATATTTGATTTATCACGTCATCTGAATCATCTTTGTTATTGTAAACTTAGTTCTTATCAAGTTCTTTAGGTTTTTAATATGGTTACGTCAAGAAGTTTACAGATTTTTTTGTAGCTCTTTTAGACACTGAATGTAATTTAACCAATATAAATACATATGTTCATATTCATATATTTTAATAAGAAAAATTATTTTTTTCCATCTACTTATAAGGCAGTTGATTATTTATTTGTGAGGCTTAAAATAAAAATGTACTGTATGATAAGAAATAAAACATAAGCTTTTCAGTAGTAAATATTAATCTGCAAATACATATATTTTTCCTTAAGAGTTTGAAATTGAGGTTTCTGAAACAACTTTAAATGCTTAAAATCCTGTAACTTGTTTTGTAAATAAATGGCTTAAACTTTGGTTAAGAAACAAAAATTACTCTATTGATCAATTAGTCATTTATCTGTAGCCTCATTTGTTTCCCTGAGCATTGTTGTAGCTCACCATCATCAGTTGCAACTTGCATTTAGAGCTGTAATTTCTCCTTTTCTGTAGAGGACCAGAAATATGTAATACTGCATTTCTTGGGTGCCTCATTTGTGTTTATAGTTTCCTAATCTGAGAGGTTTTTGTCTCCTCAGTATCTTGTTTTCAAGATAGAGATGCTATTCTGGACTGACCAGGCCATATACTTAAGATATTTTCTGTAACGTTTGCAATGCATTTCTAATGCAATGTTTGTCTTTTTGTAGACTGTGCCAAGAGGCAAAACCTTACTTCTCCAAGCCAAGGTAAAAACTAAGACACTTTTAAATTTATCTTTCTGAGATGAGGGCACTTGAGAGGTGGTGTTTTGGGGGGTTTGGGGCCGGGGGGGTGGATGTTAAGTGTCAGTGTCCCTTACCTATAATCTACAACTTTATCATGTAGATAGACATTAATGTATATGATACACATTCATGTATTTTACATAGATGTGTATTTCTATGTCAGTCGTAGCACAGAAATCACATTAGTGAAGTGTTAGAACCTTGCCAGGTGTTTCAACTAAGATTTGGCTGCAGAAAGTTTGAAAATGACAGCTCTCCACTCCTTGTCTGTTCCAATTGGTTCCTGCCTTGGGCATGTGGGGATTTTCTAGAGCTTTTGGACTTGCAGAAATTCCTAGGTGCTGTTCCAACTACATGGGATCCAAACAGCATGTTGGAAATGAAGCTTTCTGCAGTCTTCACGAACATGGATTTTCTGTAATAATTCTGTTACTTTGGCTAACGCGGGGATATTGCAACATGCAATGAATCTCCAGTTCACCTCTTCTCTTCTGTCTGTTTTGTAACATGACTTCTTAAGCATTAGTAGTAAAATTATCTTCATATCATAAAGTGAAGGAGGCTAATAGTTACATGCTTGCTTTTTTTTTTTTTTTTTCTCCCAGGAGGAATTTAGTGGCTATGACTTTGAGAACAGATTGCACGTCCGCATACATGCAGCCTTAGCCTCTCTAAGGGAGGTAGTTCCACAGTGACAGACAGGAGGTCTTGTTGTCCTTTCCCACAGTTTCTGCACTTTAAGATGAAGCAGAAGAAAGAGCTGTTGGGAAGACCAGCTTTTCTTCTGAAAAACCACTTGTGCCAGAGACACTTTCCTAGTATGGTCAGAGTTGGTATGGCTTAGTAAACATTACAATTGTAACTAAAAGTAAATCAACCAGGAAGAAGGTTAAGTGACCTTGTGTTTTTTAACTCTTCAGTTTTTATTCTGTTTAAACCAAGCTGAAGACAATTGCTTGTAACTGTGGATAAGCCTAAATAAGCACACATGATTTACTTCAACAATATTGGCAGGTGTGATTTTTACCTTTTAAAATAGATCTAGATCTAAAATATGACAAGGGGAGCACTTCTGTTTTGATTAGAATAATACAATAAAAGTAATCACTGTAAATGTTGAAGTTGGGAATAGTCAGAACACTTTTTTTTCTTCAAGCATTAGCCAGTGCACGGGAGGAGAAAAACAGTTGAGCTGCGAAAAGCAGATCTTACTAAATTTCAGTGGCTTATGTCAGTGACTTCATGATGACTAATGTGTGAATTTTAAACCTCACATCTCCTTCCATTCTTCATTCCTTCCCTCCCAACCCAGCTCACACTTGTGATATAAATTATGTCAATAGTTAGGATCTCTGCTTCTGGAACATTCCAGCCAAATACTTCCTTTGTTTGACATACAATTACAGTGTGGGCAGTTCTTATTTCTGCTCTTAATATTGTGAACATTATGTTAAAATACATATGCCAGATACAGTAATTTTACATATTTTATACTCAAACTGCTGAGTCTTTAGAGCAGTGACCTTTAAAGGTGTTGAAAAACCCAACCAAACAAAACACAAAACCAAAAATCTACTTTGGTAATTATACCAATACTACGATATCCTAAGTCTCGATATGGTATTCCAAACCTGTGGTGTTAAGATATTGAAATACCTCGGAGAGCTTACAACTTCTATTATGACCATAGAATTTTTGATACTTGGCCATCTGTGTGCTCATCTGTAGCTTTTTTTTTTTACTTTTGTCTGTAATATGTAGTATCTCCTTATGTTTTATATTCAGTTAATATCATATTCTAGGAAGGTAAATATTTTTTTAAAGAAGCTTATGAATGGAAATCTGACCAGAAAGTTAGTTGATGTTACTTTGGAAAGCTAAGAAAACTGGATATCCTTGGAAATAGTGATCCAAAAGCCTTATCTTTACTTTGGTCAGGTTGCCTTAAACAGTTCCTTAGCTTACTTTTTTTTTTTTCCTTACCTTTTTGTAAATATGTTGCCAAAGTTTTAGACCTTGCCCACACCTAACCTTCATTGATTTGCTTTTGAGGTTGCATCTAAAGCAAGACTGATATGGAGGAGAAAAGTAATAGCCTATTTGGTAGGCCAAATGAAACGGTTGAGACACTTCTATTTCTCTCTAGAAATACACAGTTCCTGCTATGAAAGGCATTCCTAGAGCAGTTAAACACTTCCGTTGCAGTTCCTGAAGGAGATGAGAGACTCTTAACTCTTAAAAAAGCAGTTTTATTTTTCTATAATCTAGGTGTGTTACAGATAGTACACTGGGTTTTTTATTCAACTTTGACAGTAATACTGAGTCATAAGTGAGTGTTCAACCTTATTTGGTCAATCCAAATAAGTATTGACTAGAAAACAATATATTGTATATATAGTGATTACTTAGAATTCAAATAATGATTTTAAAAATGGGCTTTAATGTACTTGAAATCTTATTTTGTCCTACCTGACTTTTAATGTTTTGCAATCAGAGACACAGTCCCTTCTGGGTAAAGAGCTAGAAACGGTACAGTTACTGACAAAATTCCTTTTAAATACACTGCATAAATATAATGTGAGACTAGGCTGTTCAGGACACAAAGCACCTGCATGCGATTTGTGTTGGGATATCTAGGGTCTACATACTTGGAGGTAGCTAGCAAATTGTAGTAAATTTACTAAAAGGCCTGTTGTTCTCACCAGGCCAGGAATGGTTATGGAAAGACACTATATATTCATATAGCAGTTCAGCTCTGTGCAAATTGCAGCTTTTCTGTGGATTTAGCGAATCATCACTGAAATAGAACTATCTGTTTCTGTTATTTTTTTTTTTCCTCACTTCGTAGGAGAATCTCCTACATTGTAAATGTCAGAATTATTTTTTATGTTAGATTGTGCCTGTGATGAGAAAAATTTCAATGGTATTTTGTGTAAACTGATCAGTTTTTATACTTTGGAACTCGGAGGCATGGTCTAATAGCAATAATGGAATATGCATCTTGCTAGTTAATATGTTAAGACTGTCTTTACTGGGTCAGGTATTTTTGTTGATGTTGATGCAGTTTTTATCTCAATATGAATCATTTCAAATAAATAACTAGCATTTTTAGATGTCACAAGGTGGCATATTTATTGTGATGTACTGTAAATGTTGTTAATTTACAGAACTTGCACTTTTATATTTCTGAGTAAAATTAAAAGAAACGTGGACATGAGTTTTGTTCCCTTGCTCCTCGAATTTGTCTTTTAATTGGTCGCCTCCTGAACAAGATGGTATCAAGTATTGGGAAAACTTCTGGGATGTCAAGTGACTCTGTAACAAAGTTTTCTAGTCAGCAATTACCTCAGCCTTTGTTCTTCCAGTATAATTACAGTCTCTTGGTTTAGAAAGCGAGTTACATGTGTCATGTTGAGATCAACCGTAGGGTGAACAAGGTTTAAGATGCGATTTTAAGACATCAAATTTACTTGTTCATCATTAAAGAAAAGAAACCACACACAATTGTATTTGTTGTATTCCTACACCTTTGAAAAATGTTTCTAATTTACTCTAAAGCACTTTAATTTCTTCTCTCTCTGACTTTGAATGCTTGTTTCATATTCTAGTTATGCTTTATTCTTAAATAAAATTCCCTAAATGTTGTATTGAACTGCTTTTCAATTTACAACAATCTGATTGTCTTTCCAACAATTGATTGTAGTCATATTTAAAACTTGCTCTGTAACTGTTTGAAGAGGAAGTGTGTTATGTTAGTGTAGAGCTCTGTGCGGTGTTGCAAGGGTGCTCATTGAACCTCTTGGGAGTGAAAGCAGGGTAGCCTAAAAAGGACACTCAAATTCCCTTTCCAGTCATCATTACAAAATACTAACAGTGGTAGCAATCACTTTCATGAAAAATTATGCAATCCCAAACCAGTATTACTAAAGCTAAAGTAGTAAATTTATACTTAGCTGTCTTTTGAGGCAATTGGGCAGCCAGGGGCATCTGACTAGTACACCTGTCCTTGGCTCAGCAGGGGTCCTGCAGGCAGGTGAGAGCACAAATGTCAGACTCCCCTGAAATTTAGGAGTAAGAAGTACAGGTATATGGACTCTGATCCTTCATCCTGAAGGAACTGTGTGACAAATTATTTTATATAAATTAGGAGTTCAGAAAAAAAGGCAGGACAGGGAATTGTTTCTCTGCTAATTGCAGTTTGAGTAGATGCTTATGCAATATTGTCTTGTATTCTAATGTTTTGAGGTGAGCTAGAAAATACTGCTTCAAAAGCTACTTCTATCTGGAAAAGTTGACTTGCAGGAGATAGAAATATACAGACAAGTTCCAGCTCTGGTTCATTTTGACCAAAGAACAATTAAAACACAGTATTCTATACAGAGATTCAGAAAGCACAAGAACCTGCTGTTTCTACACTGAGTTATTGGTATCTATATACAATAGTCTTAATTTACGCAAAAGCAAATTCTTGTATTTAATTAGCCGGTGTACCAGATGCACTGGAAAAAACATTGGGTTCTTTTACAGAAGGCTTAACTTTGTCACTATGTTGCAAAACTATTTTTCCCTGACCTTCAAAACTTGTACAATTAAACAGTTATAACAGTGTGCTCTTGTTAGTAGATGGCAAAAAGTGATATTCTCACTCCCCACATCACCACCCCACTCCTCCTCCCCATCCCTGTTTCTTACCAGACAGTAAGAAATTCAGCTTGAGGCAGGCTTTCCAGAGTTAAACACTGAACTATTTCTAATTTTGACCAATTTTTTTAATGTACATTTGGACCCCAAAACTGGACCCAGCATAGGTTACCAGGGTAGGTGCACACTAGAGTTGCGTATTGCCTCCCTGATTCTGCTCAGAATCTCTTTGCGTAGTTACCCAAGATGTTCATGACCTGCTTAGCCCCTGTGTTTTAAACACCATTGTGTTTTAGCCACGGGGAGTTCATGTTCAGTTGTCTTACTGTTACCCCTAATTTTTTCACTGCTGCTTTTTCCAAAATGTTGTTTATCTTTTGATGTGACTTCTTCCAAGATGGTGTTCCAGTCAAGTAATCTGTTAAGCTCACCAGGACTGGCTGGTCCTCAGTGTTTCAGTTATTTTTTTGGCAAGCTGTGCTTACCTGTAGGAGATGCCCAGAAGGGCTCCCAGGTGAAAAGGTGGGGGGGGGGACACGACAAGGACAGGGGACAAAACGCTCATTTGAGTTGGATATTTGAGAGGGGAAGGGAGGGAGAGAGAGATTGTTGGACTTTGCTGACAAAAAATGTTTACGTAGTAAATGCCTCCCAGTCTTTCACTAAAGCAATATATTTACTGTATTGAAAAAGATAATTGTACTGCTGGCACATATGCTTCTCCCCACTTGTAGCAAAGGCCCTGATGAAGGGGAAGACCGAGTCAGAGAGATACGCATAAAGACACCTTAAATAAAAACAGTATTTTGTACCTTTGGTAGGAAAAGCAAGAAGGTTTTCATGGAGACTTTTGTACATGAATGCAACCCCCCACTTAGAATTCAACTGAAGTCTGGCAGGTAGAAACATGAAGATGGTGCTTGCAAAAAATGCAAGTCCTCTTCTCCCGCCTATTTAGCTGAAGCTTTGAAAGATTATTGCAAGTTAAAAAACCCAAACAGAACACCCCCTATGCGCCCCCAACCAGAGTGACTCATTAACCTGTTGTGAACTATCTCATGAAGAGTTAATGAATGACCTGGTGCTTTTTTGGGCAGAAAAATAAGGCTTATGTGGGACCTTGATTTGCTGAACCTCTGTCCAATCTCTATCTTCTAAGACTTTAACATTAGAAGCTGTTACTTATGCAGGTGGGGCGAAGGATGGTGGGACAAGGTAGTTACCTTCAGCGGGGCAAACTGCTCTTAGGCTGACAGGCTCTTCAGTTTGGGGCTCAAGGGGCAACATCTTTTAGTAGAGTGGCTGGTACACTTCATACGATGGATTTACTCTAGATGGCTCCCCAAAATGGCATTCAGGTTCCAGCACAGTGAATTAGTTTCCAGACACTTTTTTTCCTATAGCTGCTCTTAAGTTTCAGACAGACACACTTTTATGTTAGGGGCTGAAGGCTTTTTAAATATGTAAGGATGTTTATGCTTCTGTTCTGTTACCTCTGATAATTTTTTCTGTTGTTTGTGACATCTGTACTTAAACATCTTTGAAGCTTTTGCTGTGCAGAGTTTGTAGACCTAGAATTTTGGAAGTTTTCAAAAGAAGCAAGTTTACAGGTTATCTCCTGGTGTGTATTCATTGAGGATGGTTTCAAAGTAACCACATGACTGCCTTTGCACCCAGGTATGTTTAATGCCTTTATCAAGTCCTGTTTCTTCTGTATGGTCTCCATACAGAAATCTAGAGTTCAGATTACTATCCTGACTCCATAAATGATACATTTTCTAGTCCTTGTATATGTTCTTGAAGTATATCTTATTCTTTCTATAGGAAAGCTATTCTGCCTAATTTCATAAGTCATAGCATATTCATATTTAACTTTTTTAATACTATGGTCTGTGTTGTCACTCACCAGGACAGATGAGCTATTGTGAGAAGTTTTCTCAGTGAGAAATTACTTTTTAAGGATTCTTTTGTGGAAGAAGCATTTTGTGGTGGGTTTACCATTAACATATTTCCAGTGAACTAACTTGAAAGTGATATGGTATTCTGTTAATTTTAAATGGCCTATTATGAATACATTACTTACTAAAGGAAGCTGTTGTAGATAGTCTAAATGCTTTAGCAGCAATGATGCTTGAGCCTTAAATCTTCAGTGCTATTGGAACGCCCCTCGGGTTTTTGTAGAGATGCAGACATCCAGGAATGCAAGAGCGGGTAGGTAGATGATGGTTTTCCAACTTTGATGTACGCTGATCTATAGCATTGTTGGTGGATAAAACTTTTTATCCTACAGCAGACTCCTGATTATGGCTTGTCCCCGTGATTTTCCTGTGTTCGTGATCCTCAGAAACACGGTGCTAACCTTGAAAATATGGCACTATACAGTTACCTTTTTTGTGCTTTTTCTATTGGAAGAGAAAATGATCTTGTGTGTATCCGCTGAAAATGCATACTGGAAAGCAAATGCTACGTGTGGGGCTGTTGAGCTTTGTTAGGAGTTTTACCCTTGCAGTCGTAAGGTTCTGCAGTATGAACAGAGCTGCATTAAAGAAAAATCTTGTTTCTCTTTGGGTGTAGCTGCTGTGGCTGAGGAGGGTATGGTCCCCAGCCATTTGCTCTGACCTTCTGCCAGAGGTCACCACAGAACATCGCTTCTCAGGTGCTATATTTTGCAGTCTGTTAAGTTGGTTTAAATCCCTTGGTGTTGTACGTCACCTGCCTTAAAAGGCCAGGTTGCGAACCAGGGGATGGGTCTGTGCACCCACCCCACTCTACCATGGCTGGCGGAGGGGTGGGAGGGATGTGGAATCGTCTGAAGTTATCACGACCCAAGACCGAGCACAAAGTTACGCTCTTCCTGTGCCGGGAAGAAACGTCTCTGGCTTGGCTGCCTGCTGCTGGTGAGGAGAACTGGTGTTTTTTCAGCAAAGGTGAAACGCTTCCTCAGAGGGGTTCTGCCTGCGCTGTGGGTTCAGCCAGGTACACGCTTGAAGGCCAGTCAGCAGCAGAAAGCCGGAACGGGTTTCGTGGTAGCGTGGGACGGGAGAAAAGGCCGTGGCTGGCAGGGCACAAGGGCTGTGGGCGCAAGCGCTTCCCCCGCGCCCTGTGGCAGGCGGCACCCGTGGGTGCTCGGCCTCGCACCGCTTGACCTGAGCGACGGCAGCCGCAACTCTGCACTTCGGTCTTAAAATGTGTTATTAAAAAGGTTATAAATAGAGTTGTGTGACAACGGGAATCAAGGTGTTTATTGCAGGAGGACAGCCCTTGCTGATGAGCGGCAGCGTCACCAGGCCGTGGAGTGCTCTGGCTGCCCAAGGATAAATTTTAATTGTGTATTTTGCCTCCTGCTCCTTCTTGTAGCCCTTTCTGACCAGCAAACAGTAGCACAGGAGCGCAGACGGTGACAGCTGCAAACCTCAGCACTGCCGCCACACTGCGCAGATGATGACGCAAGGGCACTGTGATGTCATGCCCTCCCAGCTGGGTGTGGTGGCCCTGGGCACTGGTGGGAAGCCGGGACGAGGAGAGAGCAAGTACTGGTGGGGATGGAGGAGGAGGAGGGGAGAGGAAGAAGTGTCCTGTAAACTTCTTGAACACGAATGGCTTTTGTGGCTCGTGGGATGGTGCTTTTGGTGGGGTTTATCTTTAAAAAAAGGGAACTCCAGGCATGGGTTTGAATTCATATCGTGGTTCCCTAGTCAGCTGGCCCCCCCGGCCGTGCCCCCTGCTGCCTAAAGGTGCAGAAGGGGAGTAAAGGATTTGGTGACTGCAAATGGTAAATGCCCCCTTGAAGTTAAAGGGGTGTTTGGGAAGGGGTGGAGGAGGGTTATTGATGGCATGGCAAGGGATGAGCAGCTGCCATCACGCTGTCGGCGTTAGACACTTCATGCCGGGGTGGGGTAGACGCTCAGCCAAGGGGTTCTGTTTGTACAGATGGGAAACCGTAAGCCAACTTGAGTGGGTGAAGATGCAGTCTTCAAAGATCGGGCTGATTGTTCCACGCGGCCTCAAGACCCTGCTTGAGGGAGTGAGCCGGGCTGTCATAGAAAACAACCCAGATGACATTGCTGAGTTTTTTGCTCTCTATTTCCAAGAGCTTGTCACATTTCGAAAAGGTTTGTTCCTACCAGTACTTCCTCTGAAGAGCTGAGCTATTTGAGAGTGCTATCCTACTTCAGCTTAATTTCTGCTTCTGTTTTCAGACCATCCAAATCTGGATCTAACAGAGCTGGTTGAACAGTTTGAGTTCATTAGCGGTAAGATGGTTGCTGTTTGTTCTTTTAAGATATTTTGAGAAAATGTTCCAACCCGCACGGGTGCGAGTAGTTTTTACTTACTATGGGATGCATCCCGTCTGTATCTAGTCATGTGAAAAAGGCACATAG